CAGAATAAACTCTCAATCACCAAGCAAAATAACAAAATTTGCATCAACATAAGCTTATTACAACTATGTTATAGCATGCATGTACTAATTAAATTAAATTTAAAATATAATACCTTAGTTGATCATCCCAAATAGAGTAACATCGAGGAAAAATAGAGTTGAAGAAGACATCACCTGATAAATTTTAAAAAATTAACTCCACGACAAGAAGTTGATGCATGCTAATACTCTTCAATCGAAGTTCTTATTACAATTCAATAAAATGAAGAAAAAAATGAACTCACCATTTCACGAAACATACAATTGTTGATGGAACGACTCTAGATCTAAATACAATTTCAATCAAAATCTTATTTCCAGTGTGATACCTGCTTGAACAAAGTCTTTCTTTCTAATTTGAATGTTCGAATGTTGAAATGAGAATTCTTTTTACCAAAGTTATGTTGATGAGATTCAAATTAGAGATTTCGTTCTTCCAAGAAACTTTACAAGAAAAAATTAACAATTACAAAGAACCCAATTGAGAAAGGGTAACAGAAGAATATAAAGAAAACAAAGGAACACTTACAGAATATGAAAAGGCACACATGAGCTTAGAGATGACAGATCTAGCTTTGACCGGTGACGATCTAAACAGGAAGCTCACTTTCCTAATCTCAAAAATCATATTCCATTGGTGCATGTTTGGTCTCCTTCCACAATATAGATAGATCCATATTTTTTAAGTTTTCATTTTTTTTTCTTATTTTCTACTACCTGACGTTTTTCTCCAACTTTTTGTTTCTATTTTTTGTTATTCAATAAATTGGCCCATGGCCATTTTGTTTAATTAAAAATAAAGAAAGAAAGATGGAAATATTGAAATGTGCTACATTGAAGTCTTACTATACTATCAAGGCACGCTAATCAATATACCTAAAAAGTTGTATTCTTTTATAGTACTTCCTCTATTTTATACCTCCTTCGTCAACTTTTAATTATCATATTTAGTTTTTCAAAAGTCAATTTGATCAATTTTCAAAGTAAAATAAGATTACATTAATTTGATATTTTAAGAAAAATATTTGTATATTCCAAAACTATACAAAAAGTACTACAAATAGCCATATATGCATATTAATATGATAAAAGAATATATCGTAAATTGTTAGTCAAAGTTCTTATGTTTTACTCTAAAAAAAGAACATGACAATTAAAAGTGGACAGATGGAGTATTTGTTTATTATTATACTAAATATAATTGTTGCATATTAATTTATCATTATACTAAATATAATTAATTTATATTAATTGATCACCTTACTAAATCAATAAAACTTTAATAACTTTTTTTACTACTCTTGCAATTGATTTTATTTTTGAAAGTATTCATATTTGTTTGTATAATTCACAAGAAGTATTTTAAGGTGTGAATTAGAAAAATCATCTTCTTATTTATGTTTTTTAAGCACCGTAAAAAATTAATAGTGATCAACTAATATGAGACGAAAGGAGTATTTCACATACACAATACTTTATTATTTATTATTTTATATTATATATTAATATAAGTGGCTTATGTTTATTATGAAAATTATAAAAACATTACTGTTGGGACCACAAAACAACTTTATATTGTGATTAAAATAAGGATTAATTACTTGAGTGGATCCTTTTTAAAAAATAATTACTTATTTTAAGTATACTCTTTAATTATTACCATTTATAGCAATATATAACAATAATATATATTTTATTAGATTTGTCTTACTCTTTTGCCTCTTTCTCCTTTTTCTCTCTCGCCTTTTTAGTTTTTATCTCTTTTTCTCGCTCTTTCTCTCTTTTTTTCTTTATATTGTTCTTTTTCCCTTGTTTTCTTTTGTGCTGCTGCTTTTTCTCTCTTGGTTTCTTTCTATTGTTTTTTCTTTCTTTTTTCCTTTTTGTTGCACTTTCTCCCTCTCTTTCTCTTGTTTTTTTTTTCTCTTTCTCTCTCTCTATTTTCTTTCATAGTGTAGTCAATGATTCATAGACTAAATAAATTTGTATTAATAATTAATTAATTAAATAAGTAATCTAATCGTAACAAATGAAGAGACATAATAAATTGCAAAATGAATTAAACTTGAATTAAAAATGTGTTCCACACATATTAAAGTTGAATTAGAAGAGAATTAATATGAATGCAAAATGTAGCAAACGAAAGAGCATTATATGATCTGTAAACTGAATGAAATTGTATCAACAATGAATTTCACAAGTAATTAAACGTAAAAAATCAACCAATAAATTGCAAAATCAATTAAAATTGTATTTAAAAGTGTATTACACTAATATTAAACAAGTAAATAAATTAAATTTGCTTTAAAATTGTATTGCATAATATTAAAGTTGAATTAGAAGAGAGAATTAAGAATGAATGAAAAACGTAACTAACGAAAGACAAGACAACGATCTATAAACTGAATTAAACTTATATTATTCATGAATAAAACATGTATTATATATGTCTTATAAATTATTTTTGATTTGTATCACTAAGAACGTGAGTGATGTTGCAATATGTATTAAAAATGTAATGTGCATGTATTATAAGTGTGTTACCTAAATTACTTTAGTTCATATCATTAAAAAGGGAGTGAAGTTTGCAATATGTATTATAAATGTAGGATTATTATTCATGATTTTAATACAATTATGAAACATATCTAATATAACTTTAATACAAACGCAATATAGTTCCGTAAACTTCATCCTTTTCGAGCTTCAATCTAATATTTCTCCTAAAATCAATTTTAAACTTAACCAAACCCTCTTAAAATTGAGATATAAACTCCAAATGATATTTTCAATTATTTGTAGGAACAACCTATCCAAACTAAAGAGCAGACAAGTAATCTAATCGTAACAAATGAAGAAACATAATAAATTGCCAAATGAATTAAACTTGAATTAAAAATGTATTACACATATTAAAGTTGAATTAGAAGTGAATTAAACACGCATGCAAAATGTAGCAAACGAAAGAGCATTCTGTGATTTGTAAACTGAATAAAACTTGTATCAATAATGAATTAAACAAGTAATTTAATCATAACAAATCAACCAATAAGTTGTAAAATGAATTAACTTGTATTAAAAGTGTATTACACAAATATTAAAGTTGAATTAAAAGAGAGAATTAAGCATGGATAAAAAATGTAACCAATGAAACACCAAACAATGACCTATAGAGTGAATTAAACTTATATCAATAATGAATTAAACAAGTAATCTAATAGCAACAAATAATAAACTACAAAATGAATTAAATTTGCATTAAAAGTGTATTACACAATATTAAGGTTGAATTAGAAGAGAAAATTAATAATAAATAAAAAACGTAACTAACGAAAGACAAGACAATAATCTATAGACTGAATTAAACTTGTATTATTCATAAATAAAACATGTATTATATGTGTCTTATAAATTATTTTGGTTTGTATCACTAAGAACATGAGTGATGTTTGCAATATGTTTTAAAAATGTAGTGTGCATGTATTAATCATTTGGTTGGTATCACTAAGAAGAGAGTAAAGTTTGCAATATGTATTAGAAATGTATTGTTCATGAATAAACCTTATATTATACGTGTCTTAGAATTATTTGATTTGTATCACTAAGAAAATGAATGATGTATGCAATATGTATTATAAATGGATTGCTCATGAATAAAATTTATATTATATGTGTATTATAAATAATTTTTATTTATCACTAAGAAAATGAGTAGTGACGGTTGCAATATGTATTAAAATATAATGTGAAAGTCTTATAAAGGTATTATTAATGTGTTACCTAAATTATTCTTGTTGGTATCACTAAGAAAGGAGTGAAGTGTGCACTATGTATTATAAATGTACTACTCATGAATAAAACATGTATTATATATATCTTATAAATTATTTTGATTTGTATCACTATGAAAAAGAGCGACGTTTGCAATATGTATTACAAATGTATTGTTCTATATTATAAATGTATTAAAAGTGTGTTGCTTAAATTATTTTGGTTGATATCACTAAAAAAGAGTGAAGTTTGTAATATGTATTATAAATGTATTGTTCATGATTTATGTACAATTTTAATACAATTATGAAACATATCTAATACAACTTTAATACAATTGCGATACAGTTTCATAAACTTTACCTTTTTCGAGTTTCAATATAATATTTCTCCTAAAAACAATTATAAACTTAACCAAAACCTCTTAAAATTGAAATATAAATTCCAAACGACATTTTCAATTATTTGTAGGAACAACCTATCCAAACTAATCACAAATTCATAAAATACAAATAATGAATTCAAAATTTGAACTTTATAATGACCATCAATGGTGAACTCTTGTTGTTGTAATTTTAGAGATTTGAAATTTCTGCTTGAAAACATGATTTTGTACAAATTTTCATCTTTCCATTTCTTTTTTCGTCGTATTTTTTGGGTAAAAATAATGAAATATGAAAAATTGATTTGTTATTTAAATGAAAATTTGAAAGAAGAAGAATCTTTAAAAAAAAAGAAAAAAAAGAAAGAAGAGAAGGAAGATAATAATGATTGAGAAAGAAAGATGGAGAAGAAGAACAAAAAAAAAAAAAAAGAGGAAGAGGAAAAACGGCCGAGAAAGAGGCAAGTGAGTACATTTCTTAATTCCAAAAAATTGTTATATTTAGTTAGAAAAATTATATTGTCATAGATGGTAAATATTTTTTTAATATAGCATATTTATGTGATTTACCCTTAAAATAATTTCAAAATATTATATACTGTTTTTCATTTAATTTTTTGTTTATTTAATTTTTGTTGATATTTATATTTCATATAAAATATAACTCAATATATGTTTTTTTTTTCATTTTAATATATCCGCGTAACGCGCGGGTACGTATACTAGTATATATATATATAATAGGGAATTGGATTATTGGAGTATAAAAATTCAAAGGAAATTGGTGGGAAATTATTTTACTAGGAGAAGACGATTGAGGGGCCGCGAGAGAGATGCCGGTGGCAAGACCCGAGTTATCGGATTCTAGAGTTATTGCTCACGTCGACATGGATTGCTTCTACGTTCAAGGTTCTACTTTTCTCTGAAAATTTTGGGATTTATATTAATTTGTGTATTCATATTAGGGCATATGCAGACTAGACACTAATATGTACAATCCCTTCATTTCTCTTTTGAAAAATATCACAATTACTTCCCTTCCTTTCGGATTTGTTGTAATAATAAGGTATCTGAAGACCTTGTGATCGTTCCTTTCAATTATAAGACCATTACAGGCGGAGCCAAGATTTTTAATTCATGGGTTCTTGACCAGTGTAGTAGGTATGGGTGTATTGACTTGCTGTCCATTCTAGTATTACTCTTGTTTCTTGTTATTATATGTTTCGTCTAGTTTGATTATAGTATTGTTCTGCTACTACTTGTTTTCTTTATTTTCATTGCTTCTTTTTCTAGACTGTTTTTATCTTAATCTGAGGGTTTATTGGAAACAACTAGCCCACTAGAGGTCAGGTTTGCGTACACTCTACCCTCCCGAGACCCCACTTTATGGTACTACATTGGGCATGTTGTTGTTGGATTACTTATAGTATCAAATGAGTTTTTTTAAAATATAAATACTGAGTTTGAGCCAAAGACGGACCCTGTAGGCTGTACCTAAAACTGTGCCTCCATTTCTGGAGCCAATACTTTCTTGAGGATGTTCCTTTAAAGCTTTGTTATTTCTTAGCCAGGTTACTTTTTCCATAGCTCTTCTATAGTTGGTAAGAAATTGCTGATAGTTGTTGGTTTAAGGAATTGGATGCTTCTGCACCAAGGGTGTGGCTTATGAAGTGGGAGGAAAATTGTGAGGTCTCCGGTTTAATTTCCCGCAAGGTGACTTAGGCAGATGAGAAGATTTTTTCTTTCTGAAATCCTTTTATTGAAAAAAGAAAATAGTTTTTCTCATCTACCTATTCTTCATGGGTAGATTTACATATTACCTACATTTGTGGAAGGGAGTAGGTACTCGATGGAATAGTCGAGATGCGCATAAGTTGATCTTGACATCGCTATCATAAAAGGAAAAAGCTTTGGGTGTTCTTACATATAATGTTTTAGATGTAAACAATATATAAAATGCTAAATATAAGTGTAGCCCAAGCGATAGCACACAAGTTTTTATTGTCAATGCTCTACAACAACAAACCATAACTACACATCAGCCCCAAACATATTGGGTTTGGCTATATGAATTCTCACTGACCTCCAATTAAATTTCATCTTAAGCAAGCGTTATACAAATTTTGAAGTACCAGAAGTTGGCTACATGAATTCTCACAAACTTTTATGTTTTCTTCATTGTTTTCTTCTTTTTACTTGGATTTGATGTACTTGAGTTGAGGGTCTTTCTGAAACAACCTCTCTACCTCCAAGAGGCAGTGGTAAGGTCGCTGTGCACTCTACCGTTCCCAAACTCCACCCGGTGGGATTTCACTGGGTATGTTGTTGTAAGTATAATGAATCTAGATAAATATGGTTTAGCCAAATCTTCTCTTTATATCCTAACATGCCCCTCAAATTCAAATTAGGGAAACCAACTTGATATCGAAATCTCACAAAATACCAAAAATAAAAGTCATGCTGAAATTCTTTTCCTCCGAAAAGTCGTTGATAATTGCATAACAAAAGAAAGTGTTTCTTGCACTTGACACACAAAAAAATATTGTTCTCAATTTCCAAAAGGAGATATTGTTTTGCAAATCTCCAAGACATAGTTACTTAAGTTTAAATTGGTAGAATAAAGACGAGAAATCCTAGGTTGAATGGAAGGCACTGGTAGTGAAAAAAGTAGTAGTGTCAAGAAGTTACACTTGATGAAAGGTTGCTGAAGAGTGGAGCAATGCTTGAATGGTCTCTCGAAGTAGAAACACTGCTTGTTATAGAGAGGAGCATCGCCAAAAACCGAAAGGAAAAGAAATATAAAAACATTGGTCGACATGCGACACATGTTGGCATGCACCGGGTTGTTGGTAGGTGCAGCTATTTGAGTCTCTACCAAGGTTGCAGAAGCTCTGATACCTTGTGAAACTAGAAAAAACCTTCTTATTTAGTAGTGTTATGGAAAACGGACTCTTCATCGCTTAAAGTGAGAAGCGACGTGAGGCGACAAGTATATCGCTTCAAGGGTATGAAGTGCAATGATCCTATGTAAGTGCTCGCTTCATGGGGAGGAGCGTGAAGCGCTAGGAAACAATTGTTTTTATGTTTTTTTAAGTTTTAAAGATATCAATTTTAAAGAAAAAATGGAACCCGGGTCTCCATATTTTGCTTGTTCCAGAAGCTTCAACTTAGAGCTAGTCTTCTTCTTATAGCTGGATTTTAAATCTTTCCAAATAGTCCATTATCAGTGGATTTTTTTCAATTAAAGTAGCTGAGTTTTATTTCGTTTGCCTTTTAAAGAATGTAAATAGCATCACAAGATCAAAAGAAAGACTCAACTTGGATATATGCATAGAAAGTTAATTAGATCGACAAACCTCAATTAAATGTCTTTTTTGTTACAAATTACAAAAAGGTGAATTTATAGTCACAAACATCATCTCATCAATTGGTAATCCCAAGGTTACAACTTGTCCAAGTTCCCGGGCACATGTGAAGGAAAAAGTGCAAGAGCTTATGGTGGATAAAAAATTGAATAACGACTCAAATGCAATAACATATTGTTCTATTCAAATTTTAGATTTGATTTTGCTTGTTGTGCTCTCTACTTTTTAGTTTTTTTAAATTCACAAACACAATTGGAACAACATACACCAATACCATGGCAAATATACTTACCGACAAGGGAAAGCGAAACTGACCTACCCTAGAGTGAGGACTCAAGAGTGACTCCCCCTATCACAAGAAGACAGGAAGAAAAGAATTTCCCACGCCCTTATTTACCAAGCTCAGGACTAAAGGAGCATTTTAGGAATTTTACATTTGCTTATATATGTTGTTTTTGTACAAGTTTATTTTGTCTTTATAAAAAAAGGGGGCTTCTCTTCGATGAAGCAAGCGCTTTGCTTCACGCTTCATGCTTTTGAGTGAAAGAGAATCAGGGCCCTGTTGCTTTTTGTCGCCACACTCTGAAAAACACTGCCCTTGACTTTATTCAGTAACAATATACAAGAGGTGCTCCTTACATAGGAGTTTTAGGCCATGTATGATATGCATTGATGGTAATCAATATCTCTGCTAATAAATTAAGTAAATATTCTATAACTAAAATACACCAGAAGGTATTTACAAAGCTTATTCTATAAGATTTTCCTTATTCAAGTATAATGAATCTGGACATATCTTCTCATGATATTCTAATGACTAAACCATCTCAAGTGACCTTATGTCAATTTATCCTTTATGTGATTCTTGCATTTTTCACTGGTTGCTATCATTTTTGTTTTGGTCTAACCTTGTATAAATATCCACCTTCTTGCAAAATCATCCCTGGATCAACATCCACTCCCATTTAATATTCTTGGTTTTATAACCATTTTGTAAAACTTGCCTTTCACTTTGAATTTTAAGAATGTACTTTTTGTATATTTATAAAAGAAATGTTCTTTCTGTTATGATCACGAGATAGTGATGTTACCATATTTTATTAATAATAGTAATGTTACCATCCTTTTCTTGTGTATTTATCTTTTTACTGTGCAATTTGGTTGTGCCATGATATCATCTTTATAGTCTGGCTAACTGGTCATACTGTGAATCTGTAGTGGAGCAGCGAAAGCAACAAAGTCTAAGAGGTCAACCCACTGCTGTTGTACAGTACAATTCTTGGCAAGGTGGGGGACTGATCGCTGTCAGTTATGAGGCTCGTAAGTTTGGGGTGAAGCGGTGAGTCTGTTTACCTATGGTTGTATGAGTAGTTAACTGGTTATTCTTGGAGAAGTTGATACTCATCAAGCATCTGAGAACTGAAATATTTACATGCTTAAGCTCAATGCGAGGTGATGAGGCAAAACAAGTTTGTCCGGAGATTCATCTTGTTCAAGTCCCAGTTGCCCGTGGTAAAGCTGATCTTAATACCTACAGGAATGCAGGCTCAGAGGTTCATTGACACTGAAAGTTACCGTTGTGCTAAGAATGAATAATGTTGGTGATAATCATACCATAATACAATTGCAGGTTGTCTCCATACTTTCTAGAAGAGGCCGATGTGAGCGTGCTTCAATTGATGAAGTGTATTTGGATCTCACTATAGCAGCTGAAGCAATGTTGGCAGATAATCCTCCTGAGTGCCTGGAAACTATCAGTGAAGACGTAGTACAATCACATGTTTTGGGTCTTGAGGAAGTAGGTGTCATTTAAAGCAGCTTATCTTTCTTCTTTTGAAATAGGAAAGTGGGTGACAATATTGATAATACCTTATCTTTTTTAGAGTTTTGACATTCTCTATTATTTGTGTACATATTTCTATCTTCAATTTGTCAGGTATTTTTTGGGAGTGTTTTCAGTTTGGTTAGAGATTTTTATGTTAGTATCGGGATAAATGTGACATTCAGGGAATTTCAAGTTCTGGAGGAGTCCAATTTCTTGAAATTTGGGTATTATAGAATTGAAACAAACCCAAATGGTATAGAGTTGGTTATGGACCCAGACTCATATACTGACTTCGGTTCTTTGGGGATTAAGACGTGGTAGTACTTGTTCTAAAGTGTCCTCCGTTTCTACCAGCTAGAAGACAGAATCAAGAAGGAGATATTTTTAGCACCATTTCTCTTTTTTTTGGTCCCCCCTTGCATGAGGTCTGAAACCTTAGTGCGATCTGATAAATGCATTCAACAGCAACATTAGTTTATGGTATTTAAGTAATAAAATAAACTCTATTTTGTTTTGAGATGGTAGTATTGGAGATGAGCACGCCTACATCTGTGCATCATTCCATGGACTTCTGCACAGTAATGTTATTTTTTGTATTGGATTTTTAAAAGTATATTTTTTTATTTATCCATATCCCTCGGGTTTTTGCTGATATCTGGTGACTTCGTTTCCTGCACAGGTTGGTAGCGATGCCAGAGAGAATGTCAGACATTGGTTCACTAGAAGTGATGCTAGTCGCCGTGATAAGTTGTTAGCCTGTGGAGCCTTTATTGTTGCAGAACTTCGGCTGCAAGTACTGGAAGAGACTGAGTTCACTTGTTCTGCAGGCATTGCTCATAATAAGGTGGAAATATTTATTATTTTGTAACAACAATAAGGTGGATATAAATGTCGTTTACATGAGAAATGCATAATTATAGATTTGATGGTTTATTTTTGAAGAAGGTTTTTAGTAACTTGAGTATGATATTGTGAGCAGATGCTGGCCAAACTTGCAAGTGGAATGAATAAACCTGCTCAGCAAACTGTGGTGCCTTTCTCATCCATCAGCAAATTACTTAGAACTTTGCCTATAAAAAAAATGTAGGGGTTTGCACAGAAATCGTTCGTTGACACCTTGTTACCATCTGTTTAGTAGTTTATAGTATGTTGGATGCTTGGTTACGTCTTAATTTAATTGAAATTGAATTCTTTTCTTTATATATTCTTAATCTCAGTCCTTTCGTGGACTGCTCTACTGTGATGTGGCACATGGTTTCTATAATGTAAATGGTACTTTTTGGCTTGTTTATTCTTCTAAATACTTTTTTCTTTTAACATGTCTTGGGGCATTATTTGTTCACAGGAAACAGCTTGGAGGAAAACTTGGAACTTCTTTGCAGATTGACTTAGGTGTGAACACTGTTGGGGATCTGCTCCAGTTTTCAGAAGAAAAGCTACAAGAATATTATGGAGTAAATACTGGGTGATAATCTATTCTCAGACTCAGATGTGTTGTTAGTCTTTGTAAGTCTTTGGTCTGTCTATCATGCTCATGTTGGGCAGACTCCTCCTCTTAGGGAAGAAGTCCCACTAGTAGAATTACTAAATCAATGAACGAAAAAAAGAAAGAAAATAAGGAATTTGATGACCAATCCGTCTCAAGATAGCTGAACTCACTATACTTTAGTAATTATTGCCATACTTCTAATTTTAAGTGGAATTTTTAAATACCTACAGTCTTATAAGGTGTTTGGAATCTATGTTGCTCGAACTCTTCAAAAAATTCAATGGGTGTGTGTCGGATACGCCAAAAGTAGTGCATTTTTGGAGAGTCCGACACGGGTGCGGCATCAAAAGTGAAGAGTCCGCGCAACTAAGGTTTGGATTGAGTAGCTATTAAGGCAAAAATAATTAAAAGCTAGTTTGACCAGATTTTTGAGCTAAACCCAAACACCCTCTTAGATTATTTTTTTCTCTTCCAATAAATCAAAGATAAACAGATCTGTTCAAACACGACTATACTAATAGCCTTGCTGTCACAACCCGGTTCCTCTAGTCACAATGGCACCTACTATAACCCACCAATATGTAAGCCAACCCATAAGCTAGAACAACAAGTAATAATGCATATATGGGTAGAAACAAAGTAGAAGCAGTAATTTAATAACAAAAAATGAGCAACAGAAGGTTAAATGGTGGACAGTTTGGAGAGAGAGAAATGGGAGGTGTTATGAAGATAGATCCAATTCCATCCAGAAAGTTAAATGGAATTGTATAATATCTTTCTACTTTTGGTGTTAAGAAGTAGGTTTAGAGGATATAGATCAGTTTGTAGATTTATTAAGATCTCTGTAAGTATTTTGTTTTCTAGTTGCTGTTTTTTTTTTTTTTATCTAACACTTTTTGATGGTGTCCAGCATGTCCTTAATGCTGAGGAATACACATTTACCAGTTTCAAAAAAAAAATAGAGCAACAGAAGGAAACAAACCAAAAGATATATATATATATATATATATATATAGATCCCTTCCAAAAATGGAAGTCACACATACAAGTTTTCTAAAACAAAAGAGTACAAGTAACAAGTCCCAGTGGACCCAAAATACAATCTCGTCTCAAAATGCAAAAGGCTAGCTATCAAAATACTGAGAGAGATGATAAGTCCATGACGCCAAGTGCTCACCCTCGCCTCAGATCAAAAGCTGCAACAGGCTCGAATGGTCAATGTTGATAGTTGGTGCTCGAACCTGCATCATAGAACAAATGCATAGTATAGCATGTGTACCAAAACAACAGGTACTCAGTAGACATCATAAGCCGACTGAGCAGGAAAAGTTAAAGCAATATGAAATGGTAGAATCTAGACACAAGCAAGGTCAAAGTGGAATTTAAAAGAAAAGCACATGAGCGTACCAAGATAGAAAAGAACTAAGTACAACTAAACTAATAAACCTACATGGACCTCATAAGCCTAAAAGGTATACTCGTGTGCCAGTTTAAGTAAAAACCCGAACAGACCCCATAAGCCCGACAGGTACACAAAATAGCTAAAACTACTAAGAATAAGATACGGTGAGTCCAAATCCAGAGAAGGTTGAAGATCGGACTTTTAACCGTGAATAACCTCGAAGTAACCAATAAGAGCCGCCTAGCTAAGGGGTGCAGAGCTCGGACCTCGAAATGCAGATAGTCTCCAAAGGGGTAATAGGCTGTAGCAAAGTGTATCGTCTCCATATGTAGAGGATATAGAGCAGTGTGACCAAATCTTGAGTCTCCAACTATGAAGGTCTGCGAAAGGACCTTATTCAACTGCCTGTAATTATTACACATCCACATCGTACCGTCCTTCTTAACAAACAAAATGGAGGTACCCCAAGGCGACACACTAGGCCGAATGAATGCCGAATGAATCCTTATCCAAGAGATTTTGAAGCTGAACACTGAGCTTCTTAAGCTTTGCGGGGCCATTCGATAAGGCGGAATAGAAATAGGACGAGTACTCGGCTCAAGGTCAATATGGAAATTGATATAACGCTTTGGGGTAGGCCAGGTAGGTCGGTAGGAAACACACCCACGAACTCACGAACAATGGGAACCGACTCAACTGGTAGAACCTCCCTACTCACATCCCGAACCTAGGCTAAGTAAGATAAGCAACCGCTAGCCACTAGTCTTTGAGCCCAAATAAATGAAATAACTCCAATCGGTGTGCTACTACAAGAGCCTTGCCACACCACCGGGGGAATACCAAGCATGGTTAAGGTAATGGTCTTAGAGAAGCAATCTAAGGCCGCGCGGTAGGGAGATACTAGTCCATGCCCAAAATCACATCAAAGTAAAGCATATCAAGCAATATAAGGTCAGCTCGGGTGTCAACCCCCTGGATAGTCACCAACGAGATCGAAACACCTAATCCACTACTAAAGACTCAACCATGGGGGTCGACACATGCAACGACGTTGCCAAAGGCTCCGAACACATACTCAAACGAGAAACATAATATATAAATACATATGAAAAGGTAGAGCCCGGATCAAATAAAGTTGAGGCGGGCTAATGGCATAAGAGAATCGTACTTGTGATCAAATCGTCCAATGCCTCAGCCTCCACCCTCGCTGGAGCTGCATACAAGTGAGTCTGTCTTCCTTTACCCTGGGCATCTGTCCTACCACCTGACTTGCCTCCCCACAGACCACCCTGAATACCCCGATGACTACTACGACAATCTTGACCCTGGCCTCTGCCTCTGATCGGAGGTGCTACTAGTGGAGTTGGTAGAGCTGCCTAATGGCACAAACTCGCACCGTAAACCTCGGGACCCTAGCCGACCATGCCTCTAACCTAAAATGACCCTTTCGGAGCTGATGAAACCATCAAAATTGTATTTTGAGGCTGTCTTCCTGAACTCCTGATCGAATTAACCGTTCAAGGTTCAGAAGCTCCAAGACACAAAATTTCTCATAAAAACCAAACGGACCACCGGGTGACCAAACTATCAGTCTCACCAAGTCATAAATGACTTGGGGTTGCTATAAGAACTCTCTAAACGACGAAAAGAAGACATAAACACAGACATGACCTGGAGGGTCAGTACACTTGCTTTTGCTATTTTTTCCAATTAAATCCATCAGTTTTTCTGCTACTTCTTCTTATGTTCCTGTTCTGGAGCTTATAATGTGTCAACTTCTGTTTTATAAATTTTACTTATTCTTAAATTGTTTGATGTGTACAGAAAAAGCGTAGCACACTTGCTTGCAATTTTGTGATCAGATCGGTCAATTATGTTTTAACTTGAAAATATTTCCTACTTCTTCAGTAAGGTTCTTTTGATATTTTGATAGAAATTAGAAACTAGTGAAGTTGATTGAAAATCATTTTGAGAATGTCATTTCTTGATAACCTGATTCAATCATTGAAATTACAATTGTTGAGTGATCAAATTTTTGGCATGCTCAGTAAGATAGGAAAAAAATACAATAAGTACCATTTAAATCCTATGGCAAGTCAAAGAAATTGATTCTATTACCAACAAGTTGAACAGGCTTGATATCAAATATTAATAACATGCACACCAATAGAAAAGAAAAAGAAAAGATGCATGCACACATGAACAAATTGACAACTAACTATTATTTCATATGTTAATTAGCCTAGGAAGTAACAGTACTTTATTAAGATATTTTACCTGTTGTAAGAGGTTAGTTTTGCTGTAAGCATTTGATTTTGGCTTTAGTTGAAATTATAAATACTCCCTCCATCCCAATGAGAATGCCACTATTATTATTTGTAGCGTCAAACTACTTTTATATAATATAAATTTATGAACATCCTTAAAGCCTTTTTTGACTATAAAAATCATGATACATAGGTTCTTGTTTTTATATATGTACATTATTTTGCAAAAATATTAAGATATGAAGGGGTTTTATGTAGTTCTATTGACATGTTATTCTTACAAATAATATTGTTAAATGAATGATCTAATTTACTAGCTAAGGTGATTGACACTCTTATTGGATGCAGGGAGTACTAAGTAATAAATCTCATATAACTTATAATAACTATAAATCAAGTTTGTATTCAATATGTTGAAGTGTGTGACCATCTCACCTAAAAGGTTAAGCTGTTAGAGAGTGCACACTTTTATTATTTAATTATATTCTCAACACTCTCCTCACGTGCCGGCCTGATTTTTTTTCCATGGGCCAAGCACGTGGAAATTCTTTTTGATTTGGGTGGCGGTGAGATTCGATCTCAGGGCCTCTGTCTACTCTGATGCCATGTTTAAGTGTGTGACCATCTCACCTAAAAGCTTAAGCTGTTAGAGAGTGCACACTTTTATTATTTAATTATATTCTCAACACTCTCCTCACGTGCCGGCCTGATTTTTTTTCCATGGGCCAAGCACGTGGAAATTCTTTTTGATTTGGGTGGCGGTGAGATTCGATCTCAGGGCCTCTGTCTACTCTGATGCCATGTTTAAGTGTGTGACCATCTCACCTAAAAGCTTAAGCTGTTAGAGAGTGTACACTTTTATTATATAATTATATTCTCAACACAATAATAAGATTTCTATAATGTGAACTGAAATATTTAGTTTATAATTAATCAACTTAAATTTCCCCTTGCAATTGGTTAACTAAAATTTGAAGTGTCCAATGACAACAGGATTTGGTCTTTAGATGTAATTCTTTAGTTTTAGGCTTATCAGATAGGCCCCTCTGTAACCTACTGACCTTGTTGTGCTTAACTTGCACAGTTCTTGGTTATGGAATACAGCAAGGGGCATTAATGGAGAAGAGGTCAAGGAACGCCTTCTTCCCAACAGTCATGGATCAGGAAAGACATTTCCTGGACCTCGAGCTCTTAAAACTGTCGCTTCTGTAAGTTTTATTCAAACTGAACACCCATCTTCTGGATGACACTGATCTATCCTTCTTTTACAAGTTAGACATAACTGATCTACGGAAAATAGAAGCAATGATGTTCTGATTTTTACATACTTCTTTATTTATATTTATATCGGAGTTTTATTTTGAGTTCTAAATGTTTTATCTACCAGTTAAAATGGACCACTTCTACTTCATTGCTTTGTTTCTAGGTTGAAAAGTGGCTTAATGAGCTCTGCGAAGAACTTAGTGAACGTCTTCAGTCTGATTTAGAACAGAATAAGCGTATTGCACATACTCTTACTCTACATGCTCATGCATACAAGGTTGGCTTTTCTTGTCAGGTCTCCAGTATGATGACATGAGTATTTGCAAGTCCCTTATATAAGTAATTTAGAGATATGTTGCTCGGACTCTTTAAAAATGTCGCCGGGTGCGTTTCAGATTCTCCAAAAGTAGTGTTATTTTGAAGAGTCTGACACAAGTGCGGCATCATTTTTGAAGAGTCCGACCAGCATAGATTTAGAGTTTCCTGAAATTGCATACTTAAGTCTGCTATTTGCAGTCAAATGATGCAGATTCGTTCAGGAAATTTCCATCAAAATCGTGTCCACTGAGGTATGGGACTTCCAAGATTAAGGAAGATGCCCTAAGCCTGTTTCAAGCAGGATTGCGTGAATATCTTGGCCAGTACAATGTGAAGATTTCCGGAAATCAAAAGAGTGGGTGGGGTATAACTGGTCTTTCTGTTTCAGCCAGTAAAATAGCAGCTATACCATCAGTAAGTTCTAAGTTTTTTTTAGCTATAATCTATTACAAATATCCACTTCTATATACATATATCCAATGTTTACATCTCCATAGACTTTTTTTCTGGTCTGCAATATAAGCCTCTGAGATGTGCACCCGAATATCAAATGGAAGCTAATTGCAATGGTTTTTGTTTGTCTTACAAAGATATATGAGAGAGGGATTGTACAACTACTTTATACTTGATATGATAAATCCCTTTTCTTGATTGCTTCTTTCAGGTTGCAGTTTGGATATAATCAGTAAATGGCTTAACTTCTTATTACAGTTTATTTTGTGATGCTTTGCTTTCTCTAATTGACTGTCCTGAACTCCATGAATCCATCCAAATTGAATTCGCATGTTGATGATCATATTTTTGCCACTTCTCGTATAGGTTTTTAACAGGTCTCTACTTCAAAAGGCAATTATTGTCGAGTTAATGAACTTGGTCAAATGAATTTCCAGCATAATGTAGTGTTATCGTTGCTGAAAATTCCTGTTGCGATTTATATGCCTTGTGGAGTTTTTATTTCAAATGTGGATTATCTTTATATCTGCTGATAACATTACAGTGGTTACTTTGGTGCAAGCAAATATGAAACTCTATTCTAACTTGAAGCAGCCTAAGATATGTACAGTATATTCTATTTTCGTTGGTTATTTCCCAGTTTGAATATGTTCAGATTTTTGAAGCTGCTATGGTGTGATATGTATTGCTATTAAAACATAACCTTGGACAGATGAATATTTATGCAATAAGCAATATCCTATGTCCTAGAAGTTCCTTTAAGGTGAACTGCATCACATGTATTCAACGAGTTACCAATAAATTTAGTTGTGGAAGCAAAAATAAACAAACAGATAATCTTGGATTAAAGTCTATGACATAAGGATCAAATAAACAAGAGGTAGTGCTATGAGATCTGTGTATGGTGAACTTGAATCCAAATAAACATCCAAATGGCCAGAGGAGTTTACTTTGTCCAAGGTTATTTGATGAGGAAAGGATGAAAAACTTCTGTAGTTAAATAAGGAAGTTTAAGTGGGTCAAGTGCAGCTGAGTGGTGCTATTAATGAAGAGCTCCAACTTTGCTCTTTCGCTGCTTGTTTCTGCCTAGTTATTTGATAGTTCAGTTAAGAAAGCTTTGACATGAAAGAGAATCGTATAAAGAACTTCTTGAAATGTATTACGGCATCCGGAATCTTGCTTTGAGTATAAGGTTTTCTGTTGTTTAGTTTTCTCTGACTTCGTTTTCATTACATTTCTTGGTTGGTGTTCTATTTCTTGCATATGCTTAGTGTCATGGTATTATGTTCTGCTAATTAAATCTTTTGGCAGGGTACACGTTCTATTATGAATTATTTTCATAACCAAGAGGAAACTTTCCCTCAAGTTAAACTATCCAGCGAACAACTTATCCAAGATGCTCCACTTTTGTCACCTTCAGGTTGTATGGCCTGATGCTAGTACCTTTATTTTTCTTTTGGCCTTCTTTTCTTAATTGATTGTCTTACCTTTTGAGAATGAAATTTAGAAGAGGACAGTCTTGAAAGTGGAGGTCATCTGACACTGCAGTCATTAGAGCCATGGATAGCATGTCGTGAGGAAAATGAAGAGACTAAATATTCCATGCCACTAGACAGACAGGAAGAGGACAAGGACACGTGTAAAGAAAAGGTTTGATGTCATTCTTGTTATTTCAATCTGCATTGATTTCATACAAGAACATCATACGTGCAACATAATGTTTCCAAATCTTGATTAAAAAAATCAATATTGTTTCGAATATTAGTTATGCTATATTTTGAAGAGCTAAGGGGCGGACCATAGGAATGCTTGATAAATTTAATGATGCATGCAAATGTTGTTAAAATATTTTCTTTTACACCTTTAACCTTTTCTCCTAACAATTTTATTCATCATTTGTTTTGAATGCAATTATCTGCAACCCATGTGCCTGTATTTTCTCTATGCTTGTAGTTGAATCTAATACTTCAAGAAATTTGTTGACCTTGTGGGAAGTGCTTAGAAGATATCATATCCTACCTGAAGTTTCAAGAGACAGTGTTCATTAGAAGTGTCCAAAACATTGTTAAGCATGTCCCATGGGTGTTGCTTTTGCTTGGTGAAAAGTGAATCACGAGCAAATCAACCTCAGTCGAGGCAGCTTTCTTGTCTACTTCTCTCCTTGGGTTGAAATCAAATGCACCTATGAAGTATATAGATACAAAATGGAGACTTTTTAGTCGTGACTGGATTTAGCAGAAAATTTAATATACAACAAATACAACTTAGTCTCAAATGAGTTTGGATCAGTTATATGAATCCACATTGACCGTAGAAATTTCAATGGATTAGATTTATAAAGATGTTTGTTAATTGAGTAAAGTGGTACGTAAAAGCATTACAATTACATTAGGGAAGGCACCAAAGCACAAACCACTTGTTGGCTTGAAAACTTAAAAGTCACTTAGCCCTCTCCTATATATCTGTAAAAGAAAATTTAAGTGATGGAAGTGGAGATCCTTACTTGCAGATATCATACTAGGCTTTGCTACATACAAGTAAGGATATATTTAGGGCCTATTTGAAAGTAACCTTATAATTTATTTAGGGCCTATTTGGAAAGTAACCTTATAATTTAATTGATTGTAATAGTGTGTAATTATATTGTGTTGGTATGTTTGTCTGTCCAAGTAATTACTTGATCAACATGTAAATGAGAGCGAGTAATTACAATCTTTAAGTTTCAAGGGAGTTTGAAGATTGCTGGTAATTACATGGTGAGATTACAAGGTTATTTTTAATTTTAATTTTTATATAATTAATTTTATTTTAATTTATTTTTTACTTTTACTTTTAAAATGGTTGGTAGGCCTCAACATACCATAAGAGAATCCTGACATGGGTTACACATAGCATGGCTACCCATCAATACTTACAAACCCAATATATGTCCATGGAGCCTCTATAGCATACCCTTTAATGCCAACCACTTTTTTTTGAGAAAGGTAACTTGTATTATAAACAAAGAATACATAAGGAGTATTCTAGTAGTACTTACATCCAAAAGCTGCTAAAAGAAAAGAACTCCTATGGAGGTCATAAGAACTCTAAAATACTAGGAATATCCTCTGCATCTTGAGGATATTCATGTTTACACCAAAAAAAGAAAAGAACCATGCAATTCAACTTCAAATTCTGCATAGAGCAGCTCTTGTTTTTAAAACATCTCTGGTTCCTCTCCATCCATATAGACCACCAAATGCAGGCAGGGACAATCTTTCATCTCTCCTTGTGTCCTGACTGATTCCCATCTCTGTTCCAGCAAGCTAGAGCTTCTTTGATGTTCCTTGGCATAGTCCAACTGATGCCCCTTAAGTTGATGAAAATCTGCCACAACTTCGCAACCTCTCTACAATGTAGAAAGAGATGATTTATTGTCTCGACCTCACATTCACAAAACCAACACCTGGAACAGATTTGCATGCCTCTTTTCATGAGGTTGTGTTGAGTGAGTGCAGCCTGATTGGCTAACAGCCAAGTGAAGCATGCTATCTTGAGTGGTATCTTGACTTTCCAAATCATCTTCCAAGGCCATCCACCTATATGAGTACCAGGTCTTTGTGAGCTTCTATAAGCCGAGCCAACTGAAAATCTGCCTTGCTCATCTGGATTCCAAAATAGATTGCCCTCATCTGTGTTTAGATCTTTGTATTGCCCTAGAATGTTGAGTAGCTCAACTATTTTATTGACCTCCCAATCATTTAGATGTCTTCTAAACCTAAGATCCCACCCTTGATTATCTCTCATTTCTCTGATTGTAGCCTCTTTTTGAAGGCTCATGTTGAACAAAATAGGGAACCTATTTCTCAAAGTCACCTGATCCACCCATTTGTCTTCCCAGAACAAAGTCCTTCCACCATTCCCTACCTTGATTTTGCAGTTGTTAAAAAATTTGATCCATAAATTTCTAATGGATCTCCATACTCCAGATCCATAGGGTTGTGTGGACAGGTTGGTGATCCACAAATTCTCCATACCAAACCTAGCCTTTATTGTTTCCTTCCAGAGAGCTTGTTCTTGTGAGGCAAATCTCCATAACCACTTCATAAGTAAGCTTTGATTCTGTATTTTCAGATTCCTTATCCCCAAACCTCCTTCCTTTTTGCTGAGAATGACTTGGTCCCACTTCACTAGATGGAATTTATGATTATTAGGATCACAATTTCCTTGCCACAAAAAATTCCTCCTAATTGCATCCATTCTATCAATCACATTTGCAGGCATATGGAAAACATACATCATATATGTGGGTAGAGTATCTAGCTCACTGTTGATGAGTGTGACTCTTCCTCCCAAGGACAAATATTGACTCTTCCAGTTCACCAGCTTCTTCTCACACTTTTCTAGAATGTTGTTCCAGATACCTTTTGACCTGCTCGTCACCCAAAGGCATGCCAAGGTATGTTGTGGGGAGATCCCCTATCTTCCCCCCTAGAATATTTGCAAGCATGTTTATCCTAGGCACCTCATTGACAGGAAAGATGAAGCTCTTTCTCCAATTGATGTGTAGGCCTGAGATGGCTTCAAAAAGGATCAGAATTACTCTCAAGTACTTTAGTTGAGAGCTGTCTGCATCACAAAATATCAATGTGTCATCAGCATACTGTAAGTGGGAGATGGCCAGACCTTGTCTGTTATTCATATTAGCATTGAATCCTCTTATCCATCCTCTTGTTTGGGCTGTTCTGAGCATGTCATTTAGGCCCTCCATCGCCAAGATAAAGAGGAAAGGAGATAAAGGATCTCCTTGTCTCAGTCCTCTCTCTGATGAGAAAAAACCAGAGGGGGCACCATTTATCAAAATAGAGAACTTCACAGTTGTAGTGCAAAACTTAATCCATTTTAGCCATTTTCCTCCAAAGCCCATGTTTTCCAAAGACTTCCAGAGGAAGCCCCAATGCAGGTGGTCGTAGGCTTTTTCAATATCCAATTTGCATAAAATGCCTGGCACCTTACTGTTCTTTCTCTCCTCCACACATTCATTTGCAATCAAAATTGCATCCATGATCTGCCTACCTTTTATGAAGGCCATTTGTTGGGCATCCACCAGATTATAGACCACTTTCTTAAGTCTTTCGGTTAAAACTTTTGAAATGATCTTATATATGCTCCCTATTAGACTAATAGGTCTAAAATCCGTCAACTCCTTAGCCCCTATCTTTTTTGGAATCAATGCTATGAAGGTAGCATTAAAACTTCTTTCAAAAATACCATGATCATGGAAATTTTGGATAGCTGCAACTACCTCTTTTTTAACTACCTCCCAACATGTAATGAAGAAAGCCATAGTGTACCCATCAGGGCCTGTAGCTTTGTCCCCAGCACATGCCATGACACAATCATTTATTTCATCCTCTGTAAACTGACTCTGCAGCATGATATTGTCCCCTTCACTAATCATCTTGCCATTTCTAGCAATGAACTGAGGTCTCCACCTCTCTGTCTCAGTGTAAAGATTCTGATAAAAGTTTAAGCTTTCTTCTTTGATTATTGCTGGTTCTTGCGTGCACACTCCATTAACAGAAATCTTATCTATGTTGTTGTATCTCCTGTGGCTGTTTGTAGTTCTATGAAAGAACTTAGTGTTCCTGTCCCCCTCTTTTAACCACAAAGCTCTGGATCTTTGTCTCCAAGCTACTTCCTCTCTCTTTGCATTATCTTCAAATTCAACGGTGAGAACTGCTCTTAAATAGGATTCATCATCTGTGAGTTGTCTTTGGTCTTGTATCCTCTCTAGGTCAGCCAGTTGATTAAGAATGCTCTGTTTCTGTAGTCCCAAGTTTCCCTGTCTTGTTCTGCTCCACTCTTTGAGTTTATCCTTCAAGTATTTTAATTTACTTGCCAGGATAAAGTCAGGTTTTCCCCTAAAATTACTGGAATCCCACCAATTCTTCACCATTTCCTTAAAATTTTCTGTTTGAAGCCACCAATTCTCAAACTTGAAATAGAGTTTGGTCTCTCCCAATTACCACATTCCAATATCAGAGGGCAATGATCTGAAATGACCCTTTGTAATGTCGATTGTTTGATGTTCTTAAAAGTGTTCTCCCATTCCTCAGAGATCAGGAATCTATCCAGCCTGGCTGCAGGATCATGGCCTTCTCCTTTCTTCCATGTAAAAACATCTCCCGCTAGCTGGATGTTAAGTAGCTCTGCATCTTCGATAAAATCTGTGAAGTCTGTCATGGCCTTATTAAATCTGGTACAATTTCGTTTCTCTGAAGGGAATCTGATTGTATTGAAGTCCCCCCCAACCACCCAAGGTCCTGAAAAAAGACCTCTCACCGAGCACAATTCCCACCAGACTTCCTCTCTCTCTTCTCTGTTATTAGGGGCATAAACTCCAGACATGTGCCAGCTGAAGTCCAGAGATTTGCCGGTGAATTTGCACGTAATACAATATGCACCTGTTTCACATACTTCCCCCTCCCAAACTCTGCTGTCCCACATTAGAATGACTCCCCCTCTAGTACCGCTTGCCTCTAATTGAGCATGTTTTACCCATCTGTTGGCCCATAAATCTCTCACTAAGTTGTTTATATCCCCTTGCAATTTAGTTTCCTGAAAACAAAATACATCTGCCTTCCAATTGTGTATGAGACTTTTGATCA